ATTTCTTAGCGAGTAAATGCTGTTTCATTTGCTTGCCCTTTAGTCTTTGTAATTCTGCATTTTACACTGCTCACTCATTTTTCGCATTTTTGTGCGTTTTTTGCAGCTATGCAATGCAGAAAACACATATTGACGAGAGTTGTCTGTGTGTCCGTGTATCTGTGTGTTTGCGTGTCCAAGTATCTGTGTGCGTCTGTACCGATTTTTCATCCCAAGACGTATAAAAGCTACAGGGCTGAAATTTTGGGGAACTTAATCTGCATGCACGTTCGGGCCCCAGTCCTCAAAATGGGCGCCCTTACCCGCATGGTACCTTCGTATGAGCCCGTCAAAGTTTTTTACGGGTAAGCTGCTAACTCGGGAACCAAAAATGCTGGAAGGCTGAAATTTTGAGAGGACGTTCCCCGTCCAAGTAGGTATTACCGAGCTCAAACCCAGCCTCCGGGCATGCGTGGCACACACGTATAAGCCCGCCAGAATTTTTTTCGGGTAAGTTGCTAACTCGAGAATTTGAAAAGCTGGAAGACTGTAATTTTAAGAGGATGCTCCCCGCCCACCTAGGTCTCATTGAACTCATACCCGGCCCCCGGATATGCGTGGTACCCACGCACGGGCCGCCAAAATTTTTTCGGGTAAGTTGTTAACTCGGGAACCTGGGAAACTAGAGGGTTGGAATTTTAAGAGGATATTCCCTATCCAAGTGGATATTAATGAACTCAAATCCAACCTCCGAGTGTTCGTGGTACCCACGTCTTTTCCAAGTAAGTTGATAATTCGGGAACCTAAGAAGCTGGAAAACTGGAATTTTGAAAGGATTTTTCCTGGTAGTCCTGGCGGCCAGTCTGAAATTCTTTTAGCTAGAAGCATTTGCCAGAAAAACCAATGCCGTTAGCGACAAAAATCTGCGGAGAGCTGTGCAAAAAACGCATCTTCGCACGGGCAGCCCTTGCGTTGGCAAATTATTATTATTCCTTGCCCTTACGAGTAGTCGGGTGTGAAATACCGGATGCAGTGGGCGAGGAAGCTGAAACGAGGCAGCAGGATGCAGGCGTCGATGACCGAGGAACAGCTGAAGAATTGCTGGGAGATGGAGAAGTGGTACCCTCTCGGCAGATTGCTCACGCCGCGTCTGTGCGCATGTTTGTATTAAGGTTCACGAATGCCATGTCACTTCTCCGTGTGATTCTCATTTCTCATCGCTTCTTGCATTAGTCGATAATAACGGATTGGCTAAGAGCAGTAACCAGTGATTCACATGTTTCGAAGTAAAAAGTCCCGTTCCCGCGTCCTCGATGGTCTGGTGCGGTGTTCCAAGATCTTCCCTTC